CCTTTTGGGAGATATTGCGCATGCCCGAGCACCGTTTCATGCGTGCAGTACGGACTGAAGAAAACTGCATAATTACTATAGCTTGCTGAGGGAGTGAGGGGTGGGAGACTGAGGAACGGGGGCAGGGAAGATAGCTGAGCGGGGTAGAAGAAAAAAGGAGGCCGAGGGATGGACAAGGGAGGCAATTGGGAAAGACGGGAGGGGTGAAGTCGGCATTTTGAACCCTGCAGGCTAGGGCGTTCTCCTATTTATAAACACAGGTCTACCGATAATAATTTATTACAGAAATCTATGTGGCGCTACCCCCTAACCATATTAAATGCATATTCATAATAAAATATAACTCTTCTGGTAAGATATTACGCATGCGCTAACACACTATCGTGGCCAGATTGTGTACTGACTGGTATATGCAGCGCTCACCATACATGCAATGTCTTTCTCCTATTTCTTGAGAAAGATCTAGTGATGAATTTTATAATATAAATCTATGCTAGAATACCTCCTCTTCATATTAAATGCATAATGTTTGCAAAATATAATTCCTATTGTGAGATATTGCGCATGCGCAAGCATCGTTTAAGGCGTGCAGTACGGACTGAAGAAAACTGCATAATATAACTTGTTGAGGAAGTGAGGGATGGGAGACTGAGGAAAGGGGACAGGGAAGATAGCTGAGAAGGGTATAAGAAGAAAGGAGGCCGAGCGAGTGACAAGTGGGGCAATTGGAAAAGACGGGAGGGGGTGAAGTTGGCGTTTTGAACCCTGCAGGCTAGGGCGTACTCCTATTTATAAACACAGGTCTAACAATAATAATTTATTACAGAAATCTATGTGGGGATACCCCCTAACCATATTAAATGCACATTCATAACAAAATATAACTCTTCTGGTAAGATATTACGCATGCGCTAACACCATCGTGGCCGGATTGTGTACTGACTGGTATGTATGTATTTCTATAGCCCAGAGATTTCAGCTTACTGGTTCCTTGCCTCTGCTCTAAATATGGATTTAGTGTGCTCTATTTAAGTATACAATAATATGTATTGTTAATTATTATGTTTTCGGCCAATCTCATTAACTAAAAATGGGCCGCAAGTCGCAACATCTCGCCACCACCTTCCCCTATGCTTATGTACATGGGGTAATATGGCGCTGGCGTCGCTGGTAGTCGTTGCCAGCCAAGATAAGGTGTTTTCAGCTGACCTTACGCACTCAAAATTGGCAGGGGATGGAGATGTGCATAGAAAAATCTGTCTCAGAATTACGCTATGGCTGCAGCATCCCGTCATTTCCTGCCAAATAAGTAATGTTCCATTAGAAATGGCGCACGGGTCACTCGTCGCCTTAGCCACCAAAGGCAACGCTTTTCAGTCATTCTTATGCGCCTAGAAAAGCACGGGCATGGTCGAAGGAGATGTGCATAGTAAAATCCGATTTCAGAATTTCGCTTCAGCCACAGCATCCCGTTATTCCCTCACCCCTTATGGCATGCTCGTCGCCTTAACTGCCCAAGACAATGCTCTTTGGCCAATCTTACGCACTAAGCATTCTATGGCTAGAAATTGCTTATGGAAATCTGTTCACAAGCTTTCACAGATTGTGAATCGAATTGTATAAAGTAACTAATTAATTATGAGCTCTAAAATTCTCCCCTCTAATTCAACAGATTGAGCATATTAGTGTAGAATAAGTAATATTTAGCTTATTATTAGTATGATCAGCGATAATTTTCAAACTCAATTATTATTGTGATAAATTTTCTAATAAGAAGGGTACTCGTATAATAACTCAGAAGACGTCAGTGAAAATTCGAAGGCTTAAAAACAACTTTATTACATAACCTCAGGAGTAGATAATAGGGAAGGAGTGTGACATCAATAAACAAGGGAAATTCGTCATTTACTAGCCTTATAATACCTACGATTTACTACGCGTAACTCATCCAACTTGAGCTCAAATCGTACACAGTACATTCGCCTACCATCGTGCGAAATCCTTTCCTCGTATACACCCGCAATCCGGAGATACAGACTAAAACGTACGACACGATTTTCAATTCTTTGGCCATCAATCCAAGCCCATTGCGCGCCTATAATTCAAACAAAAGGCAGCTACTAACCACACTGTCCACGGCTTGCGCTCACGGCGAGGCACTGTGGCTCGCAGGGTGATTAGGCATCAACGCAACACTCGGCGAGATAACCTTTGACCCGGTACACAGCTACAATGTATGCCTTATGTCATACCGGCATGCCGGCAATACAGCTGGCATGCCCCCATACCACGCACGCACGGCAATCCGCTATCAGCAGCAGATCGGATTCAAATCTCCCTGCGAGCCACAGCGCCTCGCCGTGAGCGCAAGCCGTGGACAGTGTGGTTAGTAGCTGCCTTTTGTTTGAATTATAGGTGCGCAATGGGCTCGGATTGATGGCCAAAGAATTGAAAATCGTGTCGTACGTTTTAGTCTGTATCTCCGGATTGCGGGTGTATACGAGGAAAGGATTTCGCACGATGGTAGGCGAATGTACTGTGTACGATTTGAGCTCAAGTTGGATGAGTTACGCGTAGTAAATCGTAGGTATTATAAGGCTAGTAAATGACGAATTTCCCTTGTTTATTGATGTCACACTCCTTCCCTATTATCTACTCCTGATAACCTACAACTTCCATAAGTACACAAATGAAACGTACAAAAATATGCAGATATATGGAAATTAAATATGCTATAGGCAATTTTACCAGACATGAAATACCTGTTTTTCTGTACAATCTTGTGAGCCACAGGAATTCTTCAATGTGAAAATGAAACAAACATTACCCGACATCAAGAACGAATTGAATTACCGCTCTAGATCTTACATACAAACATTATAAACTCTATATGTGCTCATAGGGTACAAATAGTAATATTCAATGGAAAAACTTAAACACTTAAAAGGTACCACCATTAATATCTTTGGCTTAATACCTTCTTTAATATGAAAGTATACATAAAAAGATACATACAGTACAAAATACACGAAAGGTACACATATAACACATTAACATATAACAAACAAGAAATTTACGCTGAACAGAATACAAATCGTCATTAGACATATCAAACTACAAAAGTTTTCTTCAAATTAAACAAAAATACACCCACCGAATTTGTAGTAAGGGTTAAATTGCTCTCCAAATATAGCTTCATGATCACTTTTCTTCAAAAAAAGTCAAGTCAAATTTCCAAGATTGCTTCGTAAGACGAGCATAAATCAAACATTCATAGCATGGAAGTGATTGCAAAAATACTTTGCAAAATGAAGAAAGTTTTTTGACTTCAAAGCCTGATTCTCTGAAATCATCTTCATCCTTGATTTCCTCGTTCTTTTCCTGATAAAATAACCAAGTTTGTCCACGATTTTTATCAACGCCATTTAAAGTAAAATAATCTCTGATGTCCAACACGTCAATTTTATCACAGCCACCTCTCCAGATAAATTGGAAATATTTTGATACATCCATTGTGGTTACAGTACTGAACTCGCATCTACTGCCACAGTGACTACAAGCAATGTTCAGTGCATAGTATTATTCAGGCTCTGAGGAGAGGACACATATCGAGCAACTCCACTCTCCACCAGGGCGGCACCGATGTCAACAATGTTTGTTGGACAATCAGAGTCAATGTAGTATAGCTCAGCATGCAGCATTCCATTCTCTTCCCTGCGTATAAATGAAATGGGAAATTTCATTCGACTAGTCACTCATATCATGATATGTTATTGGCCACTTGATTCAACGTGAATCAATATTAAGTGAGACTGCTGCTTTTGAAATAATACGATTAATTACAAAGAAATAATCTGTAAAATAAAAGAACATCAAAATTACGTAAAACACAAGGTGCCAAATAATCAAAAAAGAGAGAGTCCATAATAAATAGAAGTCAAGAGAAGTCAAAAACAAACACGTAACAGTCGCGTAGAACGATGGCAAAGTCGCGAGGTCGCGCAAGGTCACGTACCACGACACGACCTTGGCCGTGAGCGTGCGTCCGTCGACGAGGTCCTCGGCGACGCGCGTCGCGTCCTCGTTCCAGCCCGCACCGTCGCCCCCTGGTGGCTCGATGCCCTCGAGGAAGCACTCGACCGCCTGGAAGGGAAGGCGTGTGAAGCGCGACAGCAGCATGCGCACGCGCCGCTCAGGCAGCCACTCCATGTTGCCATAGTCGATGTAGAGAACCTGTGAAACGGACGAATGGAGAAATCACGCGCTGATCATGCAGACGACTCTCCCACCACCCTCGGCCGAAACGCTCGTTGTGCATAATTTAATTTCTCGACATTCAAACATTCTATGTATTAACAGTTTACTAGATGATAGATTTGATCGAATAAGCAATCATTTGATGGTTTACTGCGAATCGCCCCGCTAGGTGGCGCCGCTTACCTCGACCGTGCAGTCGTCGTCGTTGGTGTCGACGACGCGAGCGCGGCACCACGTCTCGTCGGCCATGTGCAGTGCCGCCACTATCTCACCAAGCGCCAGACTGACCAGCGGCCGATCGCGGTACACCGCCCGTGAGTAGTGCTCACTGAAAGAGAGATTAAGGTTAGATTGACTTCTTGACCAACTCGGACCTATCCGTACGAGCGAAGCAACCACTCCTTCTTCTCATCTGGTTTGTGTACACGTGATCAGTACTGTTACAGTCATCTGATAACGGCAGATCTATATACGTTCTTGATGTATCTCTTCTTTTCTTCTTACGATCGTTATGTTACTGTAGTCGGTACGGAGACGCCACGATACTCACTTCATATCGGTCATGAGCGAATCCAGATTTTCCTCCAATTCAAGTCTTCGCTGCAGCGCAACTAAAAAGGAAATGCATCATTGTTTGCCACATCAAGCATTCTACCAACAGCTGGCGAAGCCTGCAATACTATGAACGATTGTTATTGCTTCACTCATCCGCTGATGTAGGTAGGCTACAAGCACCCACAGAGGGTGGCTTATATATAGTTAAGCATAACTATATATGCAACTCAACGCCTCCTGCTCCTCGTACCCCGCCAAACCGGCGGGGGCCCTTCGCATCCCTGCCCCAACAACCCCCAACCCACGCACCCCACCCCCAAGCACCCCCTGCCCCCGCACACCCCCAC